CCCCCCCGTGCTTTCGGGGGAGGTGCGGTAGTCCCGAAATAGTTCACGCAGCTTTAATACTGCATATCTCGAAAACTGAAGCAGTTAGCCCGATAAGACCTATATAATTTTTTGTTCAGCGTAAAAAATACTACCAGAAACCACAGTCAAATCAAGGGGCCCCGGTTATCGTGTTCGTGCCTTGCTTTTACATATAAAATGATTATAAAATAGGAATCTGCAATATATTTTAACACTATGACAATTATTGTAAATATAAAACACTACACTAAAACGAAAAATGATGCTATATGTTGCAAGAATAATTTATAGCTTTTTAACGTTATTTTCAATCAACTTAAAGAAAACACCATTTTCGATTAGGACTGTATCTTGGTAGCCTAATAATATTATTTGTGTGAATGTGCATTTCTTTGCCTTAGGGTAAATATTTCCCTTTACACAGCTAGCTCCGATGACCTTAACCGATGACATATGTTGTCAAGGACATGATCCTGAGTAACTTTTCCTTATAACTTAATGGTCGCTCATTGCTTATTTAAAAGTAATGAACAAAAAAAGTTTGAAAAATTTACAAGTTTGTCAGTGCTAAAGGAAGTATTTTGCTGATATATGTATATATAATATATGACGTGACAAATGTCGCGTTCCCCGACCTGGATAGTAGCTCGGCCGAGGGAGGCGTCAGGGACGGTGCCTCCGCCCGGGGCGGGCGGAGCGCTAGCGTTTGAAGGTTAGGTTGTGACCGGACGGCACGAGTTGAGCCCGATTCCGGCGGATAATATTCCTATCGAACGGTCGCCACTCGGTTTAACCTTAGACTACCGAGAAGGTAAGTTCGCATCAACGCCACGATTATTCGCAAGACGCTAATAGGATTTCTTTGTTTCAGAATGATGTTCCTGATGGATCACCGTTGCTGCTTCTCATTCCTGGATCCTCGCTTTACATCGCATACCAGATAGAGGTAAATAATTATAAAATAATTATATGATAATTATTTTAAGTTTTGTTGCAGATTGACGCCCGGAATGGATCGCCGTTGCTGTTTCCCGTCTCTGGATCTTCGCTTTACATCGCATACCAGATAAGGGTAAGTCCCGATAATTATGTTTAATTATATACTAATTCGCTTCTTTTCTTTCAGGTTACTGCCCCGGATGGATCGCTGTTGTTGCTGCTGTGCTTCCCCGGTTCCTCGCTTTACATCGCATGCCGGATTGCCGCTGGCCAACGTTGGATCATCGTCGAAGGACAAGGTGAGTAGAAGGTAAGTATTGATAATTTTTTATAATTAATCAGGAGAATTTGTTTCAGAATTAATTATTCTTTAATTCCAGATCATCATTTCAACACTACAGGCCGTTTCACAATGTTATAAAGGTGTCTCACATCACGAGTTTCGCGCCTCGGTGTGGATGTCACTTTATTTAATAAAAGTCGCATAATTGTTTAATTTGCGTATCTCGGCTTATTAATTTCGTCGATACGATGCTTTTAGTCCAGATAATTATTCCGATCGGAGGACTCTGTGCCCCGTGATTGTTGTACTATGATTACGCACTCGGCCGTAATCATCACTCTATCATACAATGTTCGTGCGCAAAATTAACGAACGAGTATCCGGTTGTTAAATACATTGATTAATAATGTCCGCACAATATTCCGTATCCGCGTGACCCAATGCCCGTGGTTGTTCTATACTCAATATGCACTTCCGTTAATTAACAATGAATCCGAATTTCAACTCGCGTATTGTTGCTAACACTCGATTGTATTTGGCAACTGAGTGCCCCTCGCTATTGTTAAGACGAGTAATTTAACGCGATAGTACGCGGGAATTTTCGGTTGTAAAGTATAACGCGTATGCCGATCGTACAGAGTGTGATACGTGTGTTCGCCACGGCTATACCCGAGAGACTGCCTCGAGCGGTCGCTCTCGCTGGGCCTCCCCACTTATGCCGGATTGCTCCCACTTTCCGAACTTTCTCTTTCGCCTATTGTTCGCGGCCAGCACATCTGGCGCGATCATGCGAAAACAAGATGATTATCACTACCCTCTCGCGTGCCCTTTTGCGCACCTTCGATTTCCGTCCGTTCTGGAAGGTTCCCGTGGAAATTTCCACGCGCAACGCAGTGAGAACCTTCCTGCCTTGGCACCGCTGCACCAGGTTTTCACTTCCGGCGCCTACCTGATGGACGCGCGTAC